GGTTGAGACACCTCCAACCCCACCCTTACCCCACGAACAGAGCTCAACTTTAGCATAAAGTTCAGAGTCAAGAAATAGTCTGGAAAATTTAACAAATAACAGAAAAACAAACCTAACTATAAAAAGTTACTCTGATGACATTGAAGATCAAGAACAAACTCAGAAGACAACAGTATCAAACCAGTTGCAAGCAGTCTCAAAGAAAAATATCAATTGGACAAAAGCCCAATAAGGATTCCTGGATGAGCTAAAAATGATATTAAAATCAAATAAGAGTAGTAGAGGAAAAATTGGAAAAAGAAGTGAGAATAATGAAAGCAAATTATGAAAATACAATTAACAGCTTGGTAAGAGGCTCTAAAATACTGAAGAAAACATTTTAAGAAATAGAATTGCCCAAATGGCAAAAAAAGGTACCAAACTTCACTGATGAAAGTAATTCTTCAAAAGTTAGAATCAGGCAAGTGGAAGCCAATAATTCCATGAGATTTCAAAAAACAATAAAACAAAGTAAAAAGAATAAAAAAGAAGAAGAAAATGTGAAATACCTCATGGGAAAAACAATTGATCTGGTAAACAAATTGAGGAGAGATAATTTAAGAATACTACCTGAAAGCTATAATTTAAAAAAAAAGAGCCTAGACATCATATTTCAAGAAATTATTAAGGAAAACTACCCCAATATCCAAGGACCAGAGGGTAAAATAAAAATTGAAAGAATCCACCAATCACCTCCTGAAGAAGATCCCAAAATGAAACTCCCAGGAATATTATAGCCAAATCCTAGAACTCCCAGGTCATGAAGAACATATTGCAAGCAGCCAGAAAGAAATAATTACAATATCATAGAGCCACATTATCACACAAGATCTACCAGCTCATCAAGAAGTCCCTACTTTTGTGGTGAGCCTGTAAGGTTCTTTACATATGCCGTCTATACAGCTACAGTATTTGACTTTCTGAAAAGATTATTGACGCGTCCATCAAGTAAGTGATCTAAGTAAAATCATGATGTAAATTTATTTCCTAGTCTTATTAAAGGCTTACCTTTTAATTCCAAGGTAATTCCATTCTTTCATTGGACTTATACTAACAGAATCAGAATTTTGGAGTTTAGAGATTACCTTGTCTACTCTACTCATTTTACAGATGAGGAAATTGAGACCCAAAGAAGAGAGAAATGATCTGTCCAAGGTTACACAGTAAGGTAATGTTGAATAGGGACTAAAGCCATACTCCAGGTCTCCTGGCTAGTCACACACAGCAAGATGTTGCTGTTTTCTCCCATCTCTAAGGGCTTTAGTTTCTTCATTTACAAGATAAGGGTATTGGCCTAAGTCAATGGTATCAAAGTCAAATAGAAATGCTGTTAAACTGACATAAGGATTCCCAAAGGTATATATTGACATAGAAAACCTCATATTAGCATCATCTATGCCTTGTTGTAGTTTTCCTTATCTTGTTAAATGTTACATTTTAGTCTGATTTCAGCGACCTTAGCTGCACTGGGATTGTTGAAGGACGTTGCCTTACAGCCTCTTATTTGACACCTCTGGCCTATATGATACCCTTGACTCCTTCTATCTTTAGTACTCTACAAATCTAGGTAGGAATACTGGGAACAAGACCAAGAGAGAAGTGGTCAGGTAGTGGCTAGGCCCTGGTTAGTTCATGAAGAGCCATACAGTCTGGGCTTCCTGTTTTGGTTCTTGAAGTAAGGTCTCACTGGTTGACTCCATCTCTGAATGAGTTCAAAGGTCCTAGTTTTGATAAAATAGGTTCTGTTCTTCTTGGGGAAGCAGATCATCCTTATCTTTCCAAGAACCTTTCTCAGAATACAGGGTCATAGCTTCTGACCTGACTGAGAACTTCTCACTAGATTCTATTTCCCATGATACTGCATTGAGATTGGGCCCTAGGCGGTTGACCTGGTTCAGTCTGGTTTCCCTTTCCCTCAGCACTGACTTCATATAGGTTACATATTCTTCTTTTAAAAGTAGAAAAGAGAAACCATAGGGTTCTAACAACAACTAAAATGTACAAAGTGCCTTATAGATATGAATTCAATATTCCAGTTCTGAATGATTTATTATTCACTAAATAGATAGAATGTACTTTCCTTGTGGTTAAGGGGTACTTCATGTTTGTCTTTGTATTCCCAAAGCACCTAGCACTGTACGTGGCACATAGTAGGCACTCAACAAATGTTTTTTGATTGGTTGGTTGATTGTACAAGTCCAGTGCCATGTTCAGAGTAAGTTACTGAGAGTGAGCATGAACATATTTAGTAAGTCAGAAGTAATTTTATCAAAGGAATCATCAGACCACTACATCACTGTGTCAATTTAATGATACTGTCTAAAATAACTTCAGCTCTGATTTTTGAAACAGCTGACACATGTCTGTGTTAGCCAACAAATAACTCAGTTTTTCTGGAATTGGTCTAAGTAAATACTAGTTGGAATACTGTGAGTAACTTAGAATCCTAGCTTTAGACTTGGAAAGAGATGTTAGAGATCAATTAGTCCACCTTCACCCCCACAACCCCAGTTGTAAGAAAACCAGGAGGTTTGCACTGAGCTCCCAGACTTTTCCAGGGAAAACATTTCTTTCTATAGAGAGAGTTTCCTGATGAGGAGCAGCAGCAGCTTATGTGATAGATTACAGCTTTGAAAGGGGAGATAGAAAATTATATGAATGACTGAGTCCATTTTGAGAATACAGCCCAGTAGTGGGACTCCAGCTTTGAGGAGGCCCTCTTAGAAAACCTTTTGTTGGACTTCCAAGAGCCAAAATGGTGGAGTAAACACTAAATTACCATAACTCTCCCATATTCACTTCCAAACAACCATAAGATAGCTCCCCAAAATAAATCCTGGAACAGCAGAACCAGCAAAAAGATGGGGTGAAACAATTTTTAGCCCTAGAAATTTGGAAGATTGGCAGGAAAGGTCTGTCTCACCTGCATGAAAGTGGAGCTCAGTCTAGGACAGGAAGTAACCCAGGAAGCCAGCAGAAAGCCCCATCTCAGCAAACCAGTGGGAGATCCTGAACCCCAGTGTGATGGAGCAGGCAAACACCAACACTAGGACCCCTCACATGCCTCAGCATAGTCAGGGGAATGGGCAGACTCCAACTCTGAGAACCACCACGTGCTTCAGCACAGCCCCAGGCAGGCAGCCTCCAGTAGCCAGACCAGCATGTGCTTCAGTGTAGCCCTTGGGGAAATGTAGAAACATCCCACAAGCCTCAGCACAAGCTAGACACCAGCAGTAGGACCTGACTCTGTACCAGATAAGTTGCCAGACCCCTACAACCTCCAGCAGCACCAGACAGACACAAGGGTCCCCTGTGGGCCTCAGGGCAGCATCAATGCAACACAAGGTGAATAGCCAGGGCCTGCAGCCCCTGGCACAAGAAGCCTGAGACAGTGCCCTTTCCACCCCGGGACAGAATTCAAATTTAAAAGAAAGGAAAAAGGCCAAAAAGATGAGCAAAAAACAGCAACAAAAGAATCTGACCATAGAAAGTTTTTATGATGACAGGGAGTATCAAGACACAAACTTGGAAGATGACAACCAGATCAAAACACCTATGGGCAAAGCCCCAAACAAGAAATGGGAAGTGGTCTCAAGTCCAGAAAGAATCCATGGAAGAGCTCAAAAAGGAGTTAAAAAACATATAAGAGATGGAAGAAAAATTGGGAAAAGAAATGAGAATGATGCAAGAGAATTATGAAAAAAGAGTCAACAGCTTGGAAGAAGAAAACAACTGTTTAAAAAGTAGACTTGTCCAAATGAAAAAGGAGATACAAAAATCCACTGAAGAAATCAGCTCCTTAAAAAGTACAAATTGGCCAAATGGAAAAGGAAGTACAAAAGCTAACTGAAGAAAACAACTCCTTAAAAGTTAGAATTTGGCAAGGGAAAACTAATGCCTCTATGAGACATCAACAATCAATCAAACAAATTCAAAAGAATGAAAAAAAAGTAGAAAAAAATGTAACTGACCAGGAAAATAGATCCAGTAGAGAAAATAGAATAATCAGATTACCTAAAAACCATAATCAAAAGGAAAACTTGGACAGCATCTTTCAAGAAATTAGCAAGAAAAACTGCCCTGATATACTGGAACCAGAGGACAAAATAGGCATTGAAAGAATCCACCAATCACATCAGGAAAGAGATCCAAAAATAAAAATTCAGTGGGGCCAAATAGAACCAGACTAATTGTCTTCCACAATACAGGCCTTCATATGTGGGAACACAGCTAACTTGTTCCCCATGTATCTTCTTTTCTCCAGGCTAAACATGCCCAGTAACTTCAACTGATCATTATGTGTCATGGATTCAAGGCCCTTCCCCATCTTGGCTGCCTGTCTCTGGACATGCTCCAATTTGTCAGTAACCTTAAAACTTGGTGCCCAGAAACAAACACAACATTCTGATTGTCTGATGAAGGCATACTAAAGGGATTTTCATTCTGCTCTTCCCAGAACCTGTTCCCTTCTCTTTTCCAAGGATCAGTCCAAGAATACCTTGTTATTGTTGTTGCTTTTACATCACACTACTGACTCATATGAAGCTTGTAGTCCACCACAACCCCCAGGTCATTTTCAGAACAACTAGTAACCTCTTTCTATGATACTTGCGATGCTGACTTTCTGTATTCAAGTTAAAGACTTTATGCTTATTCTCATTGAATTTCTTCTGATTAGATTCTTGGATTTTGTCTCCTGTGAATTGAACAGATGCTTCTTCTCTTCCTTCTTGTGGGTCTTTTCTATGGTATCTAACTTAGAGAACATACTTAAGCAGTATTCTATGTCCCTTCCCACCCCCAGCTTTTTAAGTGTTTTGAAGTTCCTTATTTGTTTTGATAGACACAGTAGAAACTTTCCCTTCCCCCTGCCCCTGAAGATGAGCATTCTTGCTTCCAGCCAAGCCCTCCTAGCCATCATCTGGGGAAACATCTATGAAGAAGGGAATGACCATACTCACCAATTGCCAACCAACAGCCACGTACAGGGAAGGCAAACCAGCCTAGTTGAAGCAGCAAGGCACCCTGAGGGAAAGATAAGAAGCACTATGTGCCAGGCAAGTCAAACTACCACCATCACTTTGACTACCATCTCCCCTCAGACCCTTATGGAAATAGTCAAGGACCCTGAACCCAAGAGCCATAGGAATAGCAATGATTCCGACCTAGTGCTCCCAGCCATGATCTCCTGGGAAGTAACCCCAGCTCTTGGAGAAGGACTGTCCTACTTTTCTATTTGCACTCACAGTACTTAGAACAGTGCTTTATAATAAATGCTTCATTCATTCATTCATTCTGGGCTGTAAATGACACAATTATGGGAACACTACAAAGGTGTGGAAAAAATTTTTTGGACTTTATTAAATTAAAAAAAGAAAAATATGACTAAGCAAACAACTACCAACTTATACATACTTTCCTCATTTATAACTACTGGATATTCATCCAGATGACGACATGCAGTTAGATAGACAACAACATTTTTTATAGCTTTTTTGGTAGCATTTCCAGTCTTGTCAACCAGATGTCCCAGACCACATTTCTGCCTTATATATAATGTTGGCCAATGCTTCACTTTGGAAGATGTTGAAAACAACATCTATCAGGAGCCTGCCTTTTTTGTGTCATTAACAATTTCAATTTGGATCCTGTTGTTTGAGGGACTATAGCTTTTATTCTTTCAATTTTCCCAGAGAATATTTCATTAAAACACCTAGATTGTTAAGTTGCTGACATTTACTTGATTATCTGACTTAATAGTATGTCAAAATTTGCAGATTCCTTTCCACAAAACCATTACTTCTGTTTTTGAATACTTTACATTTATTGATTTGTTTTCAGTAATTGCTGAGTTTGGAGAGAAGCTTGTTAAGACCTATATGAATTAATGATAGTATAACTCTGTCATCTGCATCAGTAGAATAGAGGTCTTTCAAGAGGGCAAATTTGGTTCCAATAACATTGTTCTTACCTTACAGCAAATATTGAATAGTAGTGGGGCTGAAAGATGCCTTATTTCAGCCCTAGGTCAACAGAAATCAGTTCTGCCAGAGAATCAAAAGTATCATTGCTAGGATAGAAATAAAAGATACCTACCATTTATAAGAAGATTCATTTATAATAAGTTCATTTTTGCCAAAGGTGATTGCTATTGTCTGAAGCTTGAGATATTCTGTAGAAGTCCATATGCTTTCTTTGGCTAAATAATAGGTAGTGGCTTTCCCTATGTGTAGGGATAGGATAAGGACTAGGCATGCAATTTTATGCATATACCCTCTACCCATGCAGGTCCGTTACTTCTCTGAAGCTTATGGTCTTAAGAGAATTGCTTTAGAACCCCGAGAAGCTGAATGGCAGGCAGTACCTGTTCAAGGCAAGACTTAAACCCAAGTTCTAGGTAGCAGAGCTGTGTAGTGCAATAGATAGATTGTTGGATTTTGAATCAGGAAAACTTGAGTTCAAATCGAACCTCCAACATTTACTGCCTGTGACCCTTGGCAAATTTAATCCTCTTTTCAGCCTCAGTTTTCTTACTTATAACATGAAGATTATAATAGTACTCACACAGGGTTGTCGTGAGGAACAAATGAGATAATGGATGTAAAGTGCTTCACAGACTTCAAAGTACTCTATAAATGCTAGCTGTTATTATCTCTAGCTCTGAGGGCTGGCACTCCATATATGTAGCCATTAGTTGATTTTTTTTTAAAAAATGATTTTGAAACGGGTTGTTTAGGGGTGAATAACAGTGTTGTACTTTCCGATTTTCTAGCTTTTTCAATAGACATGTTGCCATATAATAGCTAGCATCTATATAATATTTTAAAGTCTGCAAAACTCTTTGCAAATATCATCTCATTTATCCTTACAACAAGCCTGGGAAGCAAGTACTATTATCATGCCCATTTTACAGATGAGGAAAGAGAGGCAGACAGAGGTAAAGTGACTTGACCAGAGTCTCATGGCCAGTAACGTCTGAGGCAAGATTTGAACTCAGGTCTTCCTGACCCTAGGTCTAGCACACTAAACACATTAAGTAGCAATACAATTTGAAGACTATATTCAAAGGACCTATGGAAGTTGCATGGACCCTATTTCTTATGCTTTTTTTAGACATACAAAATAATTTAATTTTTATTCTTTTCAGTGAACAGAAATGTATTTTCTCTCCATCTCACTTCCCCCATTAAAAAAAAGAAAACATTTATAAAAAATGCATAGTCAAAGCAAAAAAAATCTTTTCAATTAACAAAAAAAATTACCTTCTCTCCCTCTCACTCACCCTCATTTAACAAAAAAAGAAGAAAAACAAAATCCTTGCAAAAATATGCATAGTTAACAAAAAAAATTCCTGCATTGGCCATTTCCGAAAAATATACTTAGGGTTACAAAAGGCATTACAAAGTTTATCTCACTTGATCTTTATAGGAACTCCATTAGAGGAGTAGGTTAAATAAATTATCCCCATTTTACAGATGGGGAAACTGAGACTCAGGTAAATGGTCTAAGGTCACACAGCTAATAATTGATAAAGCTGGAATTAAAATCAAGGCCAAGTTTCCTTCCCACCACACCAAGCTGAAAACAATACTCTGTTTCCATCTACCCAGAAAAAAATTTCTGTATTTTTAATATGGATGGGGGAAAATAGCCAATATTGTCACCAACTCTTGTAAAATTGTTTCTCTATAGTTGACATGTCCTCTTGATGTGCCTTGCATTAGGAAACAGATGCTTACTTCTGATAAGCAGGTCTCACAGAGGAAGAGTTATCAGGTCAATTATTGTATCATCTCTTCTTTTCTGACACTCATACTTTTGATGATTTTATCCCTTCTATGGCTTTAAATACCATCTCTATGATGGTGACAATAAAACCTTCATCTTCAGCTTGACTTTTCTTACAGTTCCAATTTCCATCTGTATGTCCCACTAACACCTAACACAACATAGCCTAAACTGCACTCTTCATTTCTTCCTCAAAACCTCTTTTTTTCCCTGAATTCTCATGTCTGTTAATGACACCACCATGTAGACCCAGGCATTTTATGTTCACCAGGCATAGAACCATTGCATTTTCTTTGACTTCTTTTCCCCAACATAAAAATCAGTCTCTCTGTTACTGTTTCCATCACTAGTACCCTAAAGCAAGACCTTTTGCCCAGAGTGCTGTAAGAATCTCCTATAATTTCCATGTTTCCAGTCTTCTCTTCCATCTAATCTACACACGTACATCCCTGCCAAATCAAGCCTCTCATTGTACGACAATGATACTTTCATGCATATGTTAATTTATTGAACAAATATTTATTAAATTCCTACTGTTTATAGAGAATTACACTAGGTTAGTCCATCTTTACCACTACCTGTTGAGTATTTCTAACTGGATGTCCCTCTAGCACCTAAATTCCACACCTTTCTCTCTCTCTTTCTCTCTCTCCATATATGTATATATATATATATATATATATATATATATATATATATATATATGTATATATATATATATATGTATATATATATATATATACAGACACATATACCTATGTACATACTATATATATAAACACACATATATTTATGTACATACTATATACACACACATATGTACTTATATATGTACTATATGTATGTGTGTACATGTGTATATATGTATACATGTATAATGCTCTAAGACTAACTTCTCACTTTCACTTTTGACTTCCCTTTTTCTACTTATGCCATCTATCATCATTTTCTCTTAATGACATGACCATTCTCCCACTCACCCAGAGATAATGCCTTAAAGTCATTTTAAAAATTCTTTCTCTTTCTAAATAATCAATATGTCCATTTGTTCCCCCTTGGCTTCATTTTTTGTCACTTCATTTTATTCACACTGCAAAGACTCTGGTTAAGACTCTCATCGCTTTGTGTCTGAATAAATAGCCTACTATCATGTCCTCCTGCTTCCTGGCCATCCTGTACACTTCTAGCTCAGCTAATTTTCTTATAGCACAGTTTTGATTACTACTTCCCTGCTTAAAATTTTTCAGTGACTCTACAATATGAAAGGATAAAGTCTTCGCTCCCAAGCCTGGGATTCAAAAGCCTCCACAGAGTCTTTTGTGGTTGTTGTTTAGTCATTTCAGTTGTGTCCGACTCTTCATGACCCTATTTGGGGTTTTCTTGGCAGAGACACTAAAGTATCTTTTTTCCTGATAGGTGGAAATGGAATCTTTGCCATTTCCTTCTCCAGCTCATTTTACAGATGAGGAAACTGAGGCAAACAAGGTTAAGTGACTTGCCCGGGGTCACAGAGCTAAGTGTCTGAGGTGATTCACAGTCTACCAAACCAATATTGCCAGTCTTTATCTTTCATACTTTTCTACGTAGGCCCTATATTTCAGCCAAGCACAATTACTCACCATTCCCCAAATATCCCTTAATGATTCCTCATCTTAACTTAGCTATTTTGTCCACCTGGAATTCCCTCTCTACCCATATATATCTACTCAAATACTAAATTTAAGGTACCATTTATGCCAGATCAAAATATCCCTCTTCTGAACTCTTATAGAACTTTTATTCTATCACATTTGTCAGCTCTTACCTTATTTTATTTTATATTGTTATTACTTGTGTAATGATTATCTTAATTAAGCTCCTTAATGGCAGAACCCATGTCTTACACATCTATGCATACCCAGTGTTTAGCATATAGTAGGTACTCAACAAACAGATGTTGAATGAATTAATTAATAATGTATGAACAATGGTGTTTTCCACAAAATCGTGCATGGTTCCTCACCTTTTTAGTGACTTGATTATATTCTTTGGCAAAATATCATTTAAAAATCACTATACTTAAATCTAACTGTTTGTTTATTGTTGACTAACAGCGGTCCAAGGTGCTGTATGATGAAGCAGTGTTTAAGATATCTACGTCAATGGCTTCTTGTTGGAGTGACCTAAAGCTCCTACTGTCTAAACTCTTGGTGATGGAGGAGTCTAATTGAGTTTAATTGAATGGAAAGTATTCTCTCCTCCAAACTGTATTCCAGCTAATGAATTCCGTGGGGGAGATAGGGAAGGGGTGTCAAGGATGCCAAATGTTAGAATTAATGGATAGCAATAACTTTCAGGACTATTAACAACTGTCAAAACTGTTAATGACAGGTTAAAGTGAAAAAGAAACTGTGAGATAGTGCATGATATTGTTACTCCTACTTGTTAAGAAGGTGGTAGTTCTAATAAACCTATCTCAACTGGTTCCGCAGAAGCATCAAGGTACAGTAGAAAGAGTACTAGATTTTTAATCAGAAGACTTAAGTTCAAATCCTGATCCTTTTATTTATATCTTGTGTGACCTTGGTCAAGTCATTTGAATTCTATGGTCCTTAGTTTCCTCATTAGTAAAAAGAAGTGGCTCAACTAAGATGATCTTTAAGAACCCCTGCAATTTTAACTCTCTGGTTCTATTAGACAGTGGTACAAGGGTGCTTACTTTTTTAGTATGATTATCAAGGGAACAAAGATTTGTTGTTGTTGTTCAGTCACATCCAACTCTTTGTGACCCCATTTGAGGTTTTCTTGGCAGAGATACTGGAATGATTTGCCATTTCCTTCTCCAGCTCATTTTACAGATGAGGAAACTGAGGTAAACAGGGTTAAGTGACTTGCCCTGGATCACACAGCTAATGGCTGGGGCCAAATTTGAACTCGGGTCTTCCTGACTCCAGGCCAGTGCTCTATCCACTGTGCCACCTAGCTTCCCCAGAACAAAGCTAGTCTAAGTACTATTCTCAGGCAAGGTCTGAATCAGCCTCATCTGAGTCAGATTTTGTTACTGGTGAATCCCTCCCCCAATCTAATTTCTCACAGATAGACAAAGACTACAGATTATAGGTATTCCAAGAGAGAGATAGTTATTGACATGAGTATACAATAAATATTCTCAGCACTTCAGAGGAAGAGGACCTGTTTCATGTCTCTTTAAGAATTCTACTTGTGGAACCCAAAAATTTTGAATATTTTTTGTCATGAGTGAATGAATAGACAAGTCAGATCATCAGCATCAGACTAAGACTGTCATTGCTTTTTATAACATTGCCTTGTAGAAGAGTAAGATGGCTGTTGGATACACATGGCTCTATTTATGGGATATCTCCTAGCCAGGCATCTTTAACTCAATGCAGTTGATGAAGAAACCTCAATGAAGATTTATTTGTGAGCCTGTCCTGGGATTCTCCATCTAGTAAAGAACTATGACATATTAATCTGCTTGGAGTGTTTTAAAATTTCTTCCAGGAGTCAGAACTCGTCCTGTTACCTAGTAGAAGGCTGTGTTTCCAATGGGGGTGGAAAAGCACAGAATTCTTGAAATAATTCTCCTCCACGTGAGTCATCTTATCTACAGTAGGTTTGCTTAGAGTCTGCATTGGTTGTTGTGGTTTGGAGGAATATACTGAATTTATTGCTAATTGTATTTAACTTGTCACTTGTTTTTGAACAGGTTTCCTTACCACACCAGAACTCACATAGTATCTTTAGAAATGAATATATCCAATTCAACAAACATTTATTAAACACCTATTGATATGTGAAAAGCCTAAGGCTAGGTTCTGCTGACATAAACTTTACATATAAGTGAGACAATTCCTGCCCTCAAGGAGCTTACCTTCTAGAGAAGGGAAGTAACATGTTCACAGATCAGTAAGTACCATCATTTGTGGGGTGGGTAGCTCTGAAAGGTAGGGCACTAGAACTGAACTTGAAAGGGGGCTAAGTAGGTTACAGCCCTCCAAGAATGGAGGGCAGCTTCCAGAAAAGCATTAAGGTGCAGACGGAATGTCATTTGTGAGTAGTAGCAAGGACAGTTTGGCTGGAAGGAAGGAAGCAAGGAAGGGAGGAAGGAAGGGAGGGAAGAAGTAAGAGAGGGAGGAAGGGAGGGAGAGGAAGAGAGGGAGAAAGAGTTGAAATTAAAGAGGGAAGGAGGGAGGGAGGAAGGGAGGATGGAAATTAAGGAGGGAAGGGGAGGAAGGAAGGAAGGAAGGGAAGGAGGGAGGACAGAAGGAAGGAAGGAAGGAAGGTAGGAATGGAAGGAAGGAAGAAGCAAAGGGAGGGAGGATTTATTATGTGTCAGGCACTATACTAAGTACTTGACAAAGATCTCTTTTGATCTTCACAACAACTTTGAGAAGTAGTACTATTATTATCCCCATTTTACAGTTGAGGAAACTGAGGCAGACAGAAGTTAAGTGACCTGGCCATGGTTACACAGTTAGTAAGTATCTGAGGCCAAATTTTGAACTCAGATCTTTCTAACTCTTGGCCCTGCATTCCACTCATTAGATTGTAAGCTCCTTGAGGACAAACCCTCTCTTTTTTCTTTTTTGTATCTAAAGTGCTTAGCAGAGTGCCTGCACATAGTAGGTGCTTAATAAATATTTATTGATGGATTGATTATTAAATGTTCTACTGTACCACCTAGCTGTCTCTAGAGTATATTAGGATATGTACTGTTAGGTCAGTTAGTAAAGGGTCATACATGCTAAACAGAGGAGTTTTTATTTTATCTAAGAAGCACTAGGGAGCCATTGAAGTTTCTTGAACAGGAGAAGTCACGGAATATCAATTAGGCAGCTGTGTGGAATATGGATTGAAAAGGAGTGAAAGTCTAATATACTGCTAAGTTCTGTATGTGTGTGTGTGTGTGTATGTGTGTGTGTATGTGTGTGTGTGTGTGTGTGTGTGTGCATTCTTAGGAAATTAATAGAACTTTAGTGAGATTTGGGCTGCTTGGGGTCAGAGGCTAAAAATCAGTTGGATTCATTACTTAATCATTTTTTTTTTCTGATCTCGTGCTAGAATTTACAATTAGTACAAATCAACCAAATTTAAATGTGTCTTAAGAGGTGATGCCTTCTTTTAAAGTACTAAAAATAATTTTAAAAAAATTTAAAATATTAGCATGTAAAGGTAACAACATGATAAAATTTTAATGTAAAGAAGGCTCTGATATCTGGAATTTGTCAGGGATTCTTAAATGCTAAGGCTATTCCATAGAAAGTTAAACCACCATGAGTAATATCTGAGATTCTATTGCTGCTTCTCAGTGGGTCGCCAAATAATAGAAACAGGATTATGATAACAAAAAATAACAACAACAACAACAACCTGAAGTTCCTAATCATGTATAGAGAGATAAAGAAAGTAGTCAGCAACTGGAGTTAGAGTCAGGAAGATTTGTGTTCAAATCTGACCTCAGATACTTACTAGTTGTGTGACTCTGGGTAAGTCATTTAAACTGTCTGCCTTGGTTTCCTCAACTGTAAATTGGGGATAATAATAGCACTTTCCTACTAGGGTTTTGAAAGGTTTGAAAGAGATAATATTTGTAAAGTGCTTTGCACAGAGCCTAGCACACAACAGGTGCTTAATAAATACTTTTTTCCCTCCCAAAATATTTTGGAGAAAATTTCTGTTAATAGTTCAATTCATTTGAGAGCTAGAAAATAAATAAAAAAGAACAATGGCAATCAACACCCCCCCATAGATAGACTGCAACTCTCCACTGCAAAGATGACCTTATAGCTCATAATTTCCTCTTAATTATCCTTAATTATGTCTAAAGTGGAAAAATAGTACCTGTGATTTCAGCCAGAGTAGTCCAGCAGTGGTTTGATTGAATATTCATTCAAAACATGTGACATTACAGATATATAGATAAATAGATATGTTCAGAAAATATCTGACTATAAACAATGAACCGTCTGTGCTGCTAATTAACATGCTAATTATATGGACTCTCTTATGGAAATTCTTGTGTAATTTTGCCTGTCATAGATTTTCTAGCTTCTTTTGTGCCTTGTGATGTATATTCAAAAATCCTTTTGCCTATCCCATCATGGTACAGACTCTCCTGGCCCTCAGCATAGGATTTGTCACAAGTGAGTACGGGCTTCCCTTTTTATGATAAAAGCAGCATGTTACATGCAGATATGTATCCAGAAAGCACCTTCATTTTCTACGTCTTGGATCTGATGTGAATTGGGTGACCAACTTTCTAATGCAAAATGCTAAAAAATTTCAAGAAGGTTGTAAAAAAAAAAGATTATATATGCTCCATGAGAAAAATAGGATTGCATTTAATAAGTAGTTAATAGTGATTATAAGTATATATATGATCTGTTTCATTTTTAATATTAAAAGGATTTCTGAAGTTGTATATGGGCATAATCAGGGGAAAACTGCTTTGTGAATGGCAGTAATTTTTACATGGAGAGAGGGAGAGTAGGAAATGGAGGAGAGAAAAGGGAGAGAAAGGAAGATGGAGATGAGAGGAGGGAGAGAGACAAGGGGGAAAGAGAGGAGGAAAAAGAGAAGGGAAAGAAGGGGAAGAGTGGGGTGAGAAAAAGAGGGAGGAGAGGGAAAGGGATGTGGAGAGTGTTAGGAGAGGGAGAGAGAGAGAGAGGGATAAGGACAAGTCAAAGGAAAAGGAATAGGAGAAAAGGAGGACAGAGAGAGAGAGAAGGAAGAGGGAGAGGAAGAGGGGGAGGAAACAGAGGGTAAGGAGTAGAAGAAAGAAAGAGAGAGAGAGAAAGCTAGAGAGGGAGAGGTTGATGGGTTGGGGGAAGCAGAGAGAGAGAGACAAAAAGAGGGAGAGGGAGAGAAGGAGGGAGAGGCACAGAGAGACGGAAGAAGAAGGAAGGGGAAAAAGGAAGAAGAAGAGGGAGGAAAAGGGAGAGAATGAAAAAAGGAGAGGAAGAGGGGAAAGGAAGAGAAAGGAAGAGGAGGAGAGGGAAAAAAAGAGAGATGGGCAGGGGAGAGAGAAAAAAGAAAAAGAGAGGGGGAGAGGGGAGAGAGAAAGGACTGACCTTTGGTCTAGAATTCTAGCTGCTTTCAGAAGAACCTGTTGCTGTTCGTGGTTCCGCCTCATTGCATTATGGTCTGTGTGATGTCTTTGTTCAAAAATAGCTGCCCCATCTCTAATTACTGCTTGTCATGCTGGTCTTTCTCTTGTTATTGTTCTTCAGCATTCCTCAGCTATGCTGAATAACTTGAATTTGCACTTAAGTGTGTCATTAAGGCATGCCTTTTCCCCACGTTGCCAGGGGTCATACCCTCCTCTTTCATTCACCATAGAGCACTGCTTAGGTACTTGGACACTGCCATGTCATTCATGTGTGTTCTACTCAGCACAGATCTGGTAAGTGAGCATTTGCTTCTGTGTCAGTGAACTTCCTGTATTCCTAGAACTATGCACCTTATTGCAAATGATGTCTTATTATTTTAACTTAAGTGTATCTCATGTATAGTAATTAAACTCTTTAGGTAGTCCAATGTAAGGTCTGTTACATGTGCAAGTCTCAAAGTCAAGAATACAAGTTGGTCTGGTTTATCCGTTCAGTACAGTGGAAAGATGTCTGCATTGAAGGACAAAGGTTCAAGGTACAAATCCCAGATCTATCAGTGACTGCTTATGTGATCTTGGGCAAGTAACATAATCTCAGTTTACTCATTTGTAAAATGAGGGAGTAGGTTGGATTATCAGGATGTTTCCTTCTAACCATAAACTTATGATCCTCTGGACTTTTAGGTAGGAGCGAAGGTACAGATGATTTGCCTATCAGCTCCCCAAAACTAGGCTACCTTTCTGGAATTTGGTAATTTTAACTCTAGCCACAGGAACATAGATTTAGAGCTAGAATGGAGCTAGGGGGCACTGAGTTCAACTCCTTCATTTTACTGTTGAGGAAGCTGAGGCACAGAAAGATTAAGTTGTTTGTCCTGGGTCACATAAGTATCTAAGGACTTGAACCTAGGTCTTCCTTACTCCAAGGTCAATGCCTCATCCGCTAGTCCATTTTGTCTTTCAAAAAGTAAAATAAGGAGGAAGTCTCCACCCATAGCTGCCTTCTCTATGATCATCCATCATGTTTGATCCCCTAAGCAGTATTTAATGACAAGGTTGAATGGTGAATTTCCAGTAAAAATCTGTCTAGGAAGTTTCTAGATTTCACACAACCTCAGAACCTAAGTAAGTGTAACATTAAGCTACAAATGTTTGACTTTTATGGTATTGGAGGAAGTGCATTTTTTAAAATAAATGTTACATTGTGGTATTGACAATGCATTGTACCCACTATATACCAGGCACTATGGATTTTTTTAAAAAGAAAAACAAATCTGTGCACTAAAAGAGCTTATGCTCTATCAGAGGAAACAACATATGCATATATAAGTATATGTAAAATATATAGAAAATAAATGTTATTATGTATGTAAATATATAACTTATATGTTATATATAATATAAAATTATGTACTGTGTGCTCCTATATTTATATGCTATATAAATATAAGAAGGAACATTAATATATGGGAGATAGCATAGAAGACGGTACTTGGAGTGAGCTTTGAATCGATCTAGGCTCTCTAAAAGGCGGAAGTGAGGAGGAAATGCATTTCAAACATAGGAGTCAACCTGTTACAAGTCACAGAGACAATAGACAGAATATTGTGTGTGAGAAACAGCTAGGCTATTTCATAAGGTTATAAACTGCATAAAGCAGAAGAATGTTTAGTAATATTGGAAAGATATGTTTGAGCTAGGATGTGAAGAGCTATTTAAAATACCACACAGAGTACACAGAGCATTGATCTTTGAAGTAGCAAGGAGCCCCTGAAGTTTACTGAGCAAGGGAGTGATGTGGTCACACCTAAAAGCTGTATGGATTATGGATCAGAGTAGAGAAAAACAAGGTGGGTAGACCACTTGCGCAGAAATAGGGAAGTTCATAAGAGAGGGGGCTGTGGGGGAAAGACAATGAATTCCAAGATAATAAATGCTGAGTCTGAGAATTAAATGGGACATCCCATTCTGTGTAAGAGGTGAGGTGGGAAAGAGACTAAGGCTGCATGTAGAGATCTGGAAGTTATCTGTATAGAGATTGTAATTAAAACCATGGAAACTGCGTAGAGATGATAACTAAACCATAATCAGCTGAGAGACAAATGGGTCTGGGCCAGAACCACACACAGAGAACGTAATATGGATGATAATTCAGCAAAGGAGAATGAGAAGCAGACAGATCGGAGGAGAACCAAGAGAGAAAGATGTCACCACAAGCCAGAGAATATCCAAGAGAAGAAAGTAGCTACCGCTCTCAAATGTTACACAGAGGTCAAGAAGGGTGAAGAATGCTATTTTCAAAGGATACCTAGGCTACTGTGAGTGACTTGCCCTAGTCACTATTCCACACTGCTCTTATTTAGGAAAAGATTCTGTCATCGTCATCATCATCATCTATTTAGCATCACTGGCACATATATGGTATGACCCTGACAGAAAAACAGCACAGACAATATTCCTCAGTACAGAGGTCAATTTTAACTAAGTTAAGATTTAATTAAAAGAATTTGAACTTAGTTAGATGGGGTTTGGGGTTGGGCTGGAGAAAAACTTGGTTTCTTACTTAAACCAAATTAGAACCTCTTTTCTCTCATATTTGAACTTTAATCATCAAAAACTTCATCAAATCTGTCAAATGGTAGACAAAAATACATTTGACCTGGAGTGAAGTATCAGGAGTTTTTCAACATTTAACTCATAGTGTGTATTAGTAGGAAACTAAGTTGAGCAGAACCCATTAATGTCACAGTGATCGGTTACCAATGGAAATAAATAATTCATGATGAAGGGAATTAGTCTAATTAGCAGGCAGTTTGAGTCCTTTGATAAAACCCGGCTCTAATTCCGTGAAGGGCAGGAAGTGCTGTCATCAGTCAGCCCTGAAAAGATTAGCATCTATTATGAATGAGGTTAGACACCCTAGTGAAGTCATGTGTGTCCTGGAGACAAACCTAATATGTTCCAGAATGGGACACAGTTTGTCTCACCAACACATCACGATTCTTACCAGGCTATTGTATGTAATAACAAGCCGAGTTCACTGCTCTGTCCTATCATTCTCTCCCTGTCCATCACTCTGACAACTGTGGAAATACATTTTCCATGCAAAGCAGGGCATGTGCCTTGAATACTTGTAAAAAAATGGTACAAGATGTCAAAGAAAATATGTTAGCATTTTTCCGTCACAAAAACAAACAAATCCTAACATCAGCCCTGAACCTGTGAATTTCCAAGACTAGCTGACAATGATGGTGGGCCATACCATACTGTACATGGGGTCTGAGTTCACACACTGTGTTGGGAAAACAAACCAATCTATGGTCATTACTCATGGGAGATTTGTTTCCCTACTTAACTTTCTAGATAGTGAAAGGACAAGACCAATCACAGTCTTCCCACTCCTTCAAGCTCAAACAAGTAGAGTCAGAATCTGGGAACAGGAAGGCCTAGAGTGCCAAGCCAAAGGGTGAGGGGAGACAAAGCCATTGCTCAATATTGCATCCAGATGGCTGAGATCTTAGGGATAACTCTGATCTGAATTTCTCATCGCACAATTATATCTGGCCTGGAGAGAGAGAGAGAGAGAGAGAGAGAGAGAGAGAGAGAGAGAGAGAGAGAGTTGGCTGCTCGGCTATGTGTAAGCCCCACGTTGATGGTGCAGCCTCCATGCTGACGCAGCATCAGCTGTGTTTCCATTTTTACTTTGGAGCCTTTTGAAATTACATGTTTCCATTTTGCAATTTGATGTAATAATGAAGAAACTCCAAATTTGTAAGTTATTGTATTGCTTGTTTTTATTGTATAAAATTAATTGCTTCTTTTATTTATGTCATTAAGAAGGGGGGGAGAAACAATTTTGCAGTATTTTATCATTTGCTGTAATAATTACCATACCAATAATGTGACAGAAGCCTTGGGAGCAGGGCATATTATGTTCAAATGTCTGAGCAGCACTTGATATTCCAGCTCATGTTTCTGAGGGATGCTACTACTCTCTTCCTCCAAAGTGCACTGAGGAAGGTAACGAGAAGTTACTAAAAATGTTGCTGATTAATGAAGTAGGGGGAGAATAAGTTGAGTCAACACAAGAAGTGATTTTTCAGGGAAACAACAATATAGTTTTCCCAAAGTATAATTCGCCTGTCTAGACTGAGTTAAAGAGGAGCGTGAGTGCGAGAGTAACCCAGAGTGATGGGCCCACTGTCTGGGCTGCAGAAGGGTCATTGGCTTTCTCCTTTGGCATTAATTTTCAAAAGACTAGAGAAGGTATGGTATTGTGCAAAGATTGGGATCAGGGATCTTGGGTTCAAATTCCAGCTCTGCTTCTTGCTACCTGTGTGACCCTGGGCAACTAACTTATTCTCTCTGGGCCTCAGTTTCTTTATTTATTAAATAAGAGGATTGTAATAGGTGATCTCTAGGTTTTTTCTAGCTCTAGCTCCAAGAACCTGTGATCCTGTAACAATAAAGCTAATTAATAAATAGGATAGAAGCGTAACTAAGCAGAGGCAGGTTGGCACAGTGGAGAGAACGTAGATCTAGGATTCAAGATTTGAGTTCAAGCCCTGACTCTGACATAGTGGGAAGTTGGGCAAGTCACTTAACCTCTAAGTACTCTAGGTAAGGGAGGCAGCTGGGTGGCACAGTGGATAGAGCAACAGGCCAGCACTCAAATCCAGACTCAGACACTCACTAGCTGTGTGACCTGGGTGAGTCACTTAACCCTGTTTGACTCAATTTTCTCATCTGTGAAATGAACAGGAGAAGGAAATGGCAAACCACTCTGGTATCTTTGCCAAGAAAACCCCAAATGGGGTCACAAAGAGTTAGACAAGATTAAAACAACTAAACAGGTAACTCTCCAAAGCTATGCCAATCAAATCACAGGCCCAGTCTCCATTCCTATATCACGTGTGGAGGTATAGGAAATAGACATTAGGAGTCAAAATAAAAAATACCACAGCTATGACCATGTATTTTATTCAGGGTTAGGCTTTGAAGTAATTACCAGACCTGAAGGCATTTTTACCTCAAAAGCTACATTTTTTACCAAATTGTAGTTAGCAGTGCTCCCAAAATATGCCAGGAAATCTCATGACTCAATGAG